AGTTCAACCCTGCCCTATAGGGCTGCTATGAATCAGAATTGACTTGATTCCACTGAGGTCAGGATCAAATACCAAAGGAGCCCTGCTATCGCTATGGGTTAAGTGCTGGGCTCCCATCCTCAGGTCAGTAATCCAGACCCATCGGCTCCTCTGTGGGTGAAAGAAGAGGGTGCCTGCTCCCATAATGGTTCGCCATCTCAGAAACCATATCTAGGGTCTCTGTGAGTCATGCCTGGCTTGATGGCAATGGTAGAACTACCGTTGTTGTTGTTGTTGTTGTTGTTGTTGTTGTTGTTGTTGTTGTTGTTAGGTGCCATCAGGTCAGTACCGATGCATAGTGACCTTATGCATGACAGAAGGAAACATGGCCCAGGGCTGCGCCATCCTCAATCGTTCTTATGCCTGCGCCCATTGTTGCGGCCACCATGTCAATCCATCTCTTTGACATGGTGCTGCCCCTCTACCCTACTGACCATTATGACCTTCTCCACGAACCAGTCTCTCCTGACAGCATGTCCAAAGGACGTGAGATGAAGTTCTGTCATCCTGGCCTCTAAGGAGCATGCTGGCCATATTTCTTCCAAGACAGACCGGATTGTCCTTTAGTAGTCCATGGCATTTTCAATGTTCTTTTGTGGTGCTGGGGAAGAACCCCCATCCGACCCAACAATTCCACACTTACGCACATGCCCCAAAGACCTGACACGGACAGACATAGGCACACCTTGTGGTCGTTGCAGCTCTCATCGAAGTCAACAAATTCGTGGAAACAACTGAAATGGCCATCAATGCATGCATGGATAAGGAGCACGTGATAAATACACGCAATGGACTTTGACTCAGCCATCAAGAGAATGGAATGCTGATACAAAGGCGGCATGCGTGGAACTTGAGGACTTTGTGCCATGGAACATGAGTCAGAGTCGACAGGGCAAGTGCTGTGTGATGTCACTCATGAAGTGAGCAAGGACACGGCTATGCGAAGCAGTGGCACAGTGCTCCGCACTGGGCTGCAGCCCACAGGGCCAGCGGCTTGAAACCACCAGCCTCTCCGTGGAAGAAAGACGAGGTCTTCTAGTCCCTAAAGAACCGCAGGCTCGAACACCCCGGGGGGACTGTGAGTCGGAACAGACTGGCTGGGCGCGAATTTGGTTTTTTGGTTTAAAGCAGGAGGGAAGAGAAGTGCACATAAGGAGGAGCAGTGGTCAGAATGCTTTGAATGAATGTTAACGGAGGGAGGCATGTTTAGAAATACACAGTGAGGATAAAGAATGGTACCCTGAGGAGTGCTCATAGACTCTGGTGAGATGATGCACATTGTATTGCATGCACATCTCTATATAGGAGCCCTGGTGGGATAGTGGTTATGATTGGGCTGCTAACTTCAAGGTCAGCAGTTTGAAACCACTAGTCACTCCTTGGGAGAAACACGAGACTTTCTACATCCATAAATAGTAATGAGTCAGAAGTGAGCCAATGGCAATGAGTTGTTTGGGCATCTGTGTCTTGCTAATCTTTAAAATGTGTGGAGGAAGGCACATATGAGGATTCTGACTCTTGGAGTAGCCTTTGGTGTATACCTTCCTTGAAATGGGCTTTCCTGGAAAAAACGTATGTCACCATTTGTGTCCCTTCGTTTCTCCATAATAACCTGTTGTCATCCAGCTGATCCCAGCACCTAGTGACCTTACAGGAGAGAGCACAACTGCTCCCGAGGGCTTCCAAGACTGAGTCATGACGGGAACAGACAGCCTCATCTTTCTCCCTCGGAGTGGCTGGTGGGTTTGAACCACTGACCTTGCAGTTAGCAGTCCAATGCTTACCCAACAGGGCCACCAGGACTCCTGGTTTCTCATAATAACAGGGGAAAATGTGACCTCCCAGAGGCAAGCCACGGAATGCCTTTTTGGGAAAGTAAGTTCAGTAATCCAAAGGTAGACCAATCTCCCCAGCAGTCAGCTCCTCAATCTTACCATGGAGAGTGGCCAACAATTCCCCTGGAGGGGCAGAGGCAGGAGGCCTGGGATGGGGCTGCAAATGTAGATTCCTACACTATATCTTGGATGATAGGAGACAGTAAACATTATTTTAATTGCAGGGGGATTGGGTGGTCTGAGTAATTTCTTTTCTGAAAAAAGGGTAAGGTGGTAGGGCAAATATGTTTGGGAACCTTAGTCTTAAGAGGTTAACAGTCTTCAAACATGGCTGGAAACTTCTCCTGGAGGATCACCTTCCGAACTTTGGCACTTGAAGAAGCCCAGTCAGAGTCAAGTTGACATCTCACAGTGCTTGCTCCAAGGTTCACGTCCAACCTGGCCTAAGGAGCGCACCCTCGCTCTCCCACCAACCCTGCCTGACCTCAGTTCAGGCTCTCACTCGATACTTCACCTCCAGAGACAGACAGCTCAGGGAATAGCCTTCTCTCCTTCCCCAAGTCACATGCCAGGAAATGTGAGATACAGGTCTCCACACCCCCATCTTCAGGGCTCTCTGGGCCCCCCTTAACACTGCCATCAAGCCCATCCCGATGACTCACAGCCACCCTACCGCCTTGTCTTTCTCCCAGGAGCGACTGGTGGGTTTGAACTTCCAACCATTTGGTTAGCAGCCCAACACTTACCCAACAACACCACCTGTTTCAAATTTGGATGAACAGTAAACATGGTATCAAGCACATACACAAAAAAATTAGTTCTGGGTAGCTATGTAATAAGATTTGCTGTCAATTTCATAAACAACTAAACTCAAACTGCACATTGTAAATAAAAGAGCCCTTGTGGCCCACTTGGCTAAAGGTTAGCGCACCGGGCTGCTAACAAAATGGTCGGTGGTTTGAACCCACCAGCCACTCTGCAGAAGATAGGTGTGGCACTCTGCTTCCGGAAAGATGAACTCCCTGCCATCACGTCAATTCTGACTCCTGGGATCCAACAGCACAGGGTAGAACTGTCCCTGTGGGGTTCCAAGACTGGAACTCGGCAGGAGTAGAAAGCCTCGTCTTTCTCCTGTGTGGTGGCTGGGGTTTTCCAACTGGTGACCTTGTGGCTTACAGCCCAACGCATAACCACTACACTACAAGGGCTCTTCTGTAAAGATCACAGCCCTGGAAATATCTATGAGCCCGTGTTCTTCTGGTCTGTAGGGGCACTACGCGTGGGACTGGACTCCGTGGCAGTGGCTTGTTCTGCTTGGGGTTTCTGATTGGATTGTGTGTGCATATGTATCAAGCTAAAGGGTGCAGGGAAAGAGAGAGCTATGCAGGCACAGGGAGATGGCCTGGGCAAACAAGGATCAACAGTGGGCTGGTTCTCTGGTTGGATCGTCCTAAGTTCTCGTACATGAAGAACAAACTCATTGTCTTCAAGTTGATCGGGCTCACAGTGACCCTATGGGACAGGACAGAACTGTCGCTTTGTTTGGGTTTCCGCAGGAGCAGAAAGCCTCATCTTTCCCCTTGGGGCAGCAGGTGGGCTCCAGCCACTGACCTTGCGACGAGCAGCCCAACACAGAGCCCACTCCACCACCAGGGCTCTGTGCGATCACCATGGGCGTTCATGGACCTGTCACTAAAATTAAGTCTCAGAAAGCTCCTAAATGTGTTATACAGGGTTCTCTAGAGAGATAAAACCAAATTGATGATAATTTAATATACTTATTTATAAAGATAATTAGATATATAACAAGAA